AATTGCAAATACCTGCTCCTGATCTACGGTTTCTTTTTAAACTTTGTTTGTGGTATGATTGTTTGAATAGAAGTCGAAATACTTTAGTGAAATCAAATCATTTTTCTTTTGAGCTTATGCTTTTAATATTTTTTTTTCTTTTGAGACAGAGTCTCACTTTGTTGCCCAGGCAGGAGTGCAGTGGCTCAATTATAGCTCACTGCAGCCTCAAATTCCTGGCCTCCAGTGATCCTCCCTTCTTAGCCTCCTGAGTAGCCAGGACTACAGGCACGCAGTGGACCAACCAGCCAATTTTGTGTGTGTGTGTGTGTGTGTGTGTGTGTGTGTGTGTAGTGAGAGGGAGAGAGAGAGTGTGGTGGCCCATGCCTGTAATCCCAGCACTTTGGGAGGCCGAGGCAGGTGGATCACTTGAGGTCAGGAATTCAAGACCAGCCTGGCCAACATGGTGAAACCCCATATTTACTTAAAAAAAAAAATTAGCCGGGCGTGGTGGCACGGACTTGTAATCCCAGCTGCTTGGGAGGCTGAGGCAGAAGAATTGATTGAACCTAGGAGGCAGAGATTGTCCCACTGCTCTCCAGCCTGGGGGACAGAGCAAGACTCTGTCTCAAAACAAACAAACAAACAAAAAACAAAACCAACCTTAATGGTGTACAATAAATGAAAATGCTGCCCCAGTCAGATGGGACTAGTATTTTTCAGCAACCTTCAAGGTCTTGTGTCATAGGAATGAAGATCTCAGCACTTCCCACCCATGGAGGGGTTGATGGAATTTTCAATCCCAGGAGCCCTGGGCTGTGCTGAGAGCCTCCGCTCACACTGCCTGGGTTAGTTGGGGAAGAGAGCTCCTGCCGATCTCTTTTAACCCTCGTCCTTTTGTACCACAGCAGTTGCTTTCCTAGACATCAGAACCATGGCTGGGTTTAACATCATCTTTGGAAATTCTAAAATGCAATGAAGCAATTTCTCTCTCTTTTTTTTTTTTGAGACGGAGTTTCGCTCTTGTTGCCTAAGCTGGAGTGCAACGACGTGATCTCAGCTCACTACAACCTCCGCCTCCTGGGTTCAAGCGATTTTCCTGCTTCAGCTTCCTGAATAGTTGGGATTACAGGCATGTGCCACCATGCCTGGCTAATTTTTTTTGTATTTTTACTAGACATGGGGTTTCAGCATGTTAGCCGGGCTGCTTTCGAACTCCTGACCTCAGATGATCCTGCCATACAGCTATGTCAGTTTGAAATTTTATTTTCGTGTCACTTCTAATAGTGTGCTTAGTTTTTATTAAATGGGCTTGATATGAAGTTATTTAAAAATTCAAATATTTAGAGTTTCAGGGCCCATCAATTTGATTTTTGGGGCAATACCTCAATTTCATACAGCCTCATCCTTTTCCATAAAGATGGGTCACTGAATGATTTATATTTTATGATTATTTTATGGGAAACAGTATTTATGGTTATAAATGGTAGACATCTTCTGGTAGTTGCAGTAAGAAATACTGCTTATATTAGAAAAAAAGCCATAAGAAGTTGTGTTTTTAATGTTGACTTCCTGTAAGTGCCTTCTGGAGCAGAAGGTTTTCTGTTCATGGAATCTGCATTTTGGATTTGGAAACTGTGTTGCACTGAGGTGTGGTCTGTAGGGAGGAGCCTGTGGGCAGAACAGTTTGGGTTCTGCTGGCCGCCTTTCTACTCTGTTCAGGGAGGTTGGGTCCCAGGGAAAGATGACAGCAGTTAGGTCTTGTTGGGAAGCAACCGTGGCTACCACCACTGACCATTTTACTATCCCTGAACAAATGAGATAGTCGTTTGCCTGCTTTTGGGGACGGTGCCTGTGGTTTGCACAGGATCAGGCGGCAGCCGGCTTGCCTGCTGGCCTACTTGGTGGAGATAAGATGCTCAGACCCACTGCTGCTGTTCAGGGGTCATGGAAGGAATTAATGCACTTCCCTCTGTCCCCCAATCTCATCTGCATGTCTCTGGAGCTGAGCATGTATTCATTTTCTCTCTTCATCTCAGTTGAGCTTTTACATTAAATATGTATTGCTTAAGCCATTCAGAAATGTTTCACATTTGTAAAAACGAAAGGTAGCTGCCTCCATGATTCGTTCACCCACCTCTACACTGTGGCCTTATAGGACAGTCCCTCCTTGGCTGTGCTGAGCCCATCTGAAGTGTTTCTGGTTCTAATCAGAAATGGAATAGTTTCAGCGTGGATTATAAGTTTATGTTGGTGATGAACTTGGGTGGAGATGGTGACACAGCTTGTTCTCTCCTCCTAGGTTCTCAGTGCGTCCAAGACCCTGAGCTGCCAGGGGCTTGGCCACCCCCGCCATGAGCCCTGCCTTGGCTGAGCTGGTCATGCCCCAGGCTGCCGGCCTGCCAGTCATCTGTGGTGCACAGGTATGCATGTGTGTGCATATGTACACGCACCCCACACATACCATGCCCATCTCACACACATCACATATACCCCATACACACCACACACAACAAACACATCTACCCACCTCACACACCACACACTACATATATTCCACGCCCACCTCACACCATGCACACTTAGTCCATATACACCACATACCACACATGCACCATGCCCACCTCACACACACCACACCCATACCCCATACACACCATACACAACACACATATCATACCCACCTCACACACCATACGCTACATGGATGTCACGCCCACCTCACACACCCCACACATTAAATCCATATACACCACACACACTACACACATACCATACCCACCTCAAACACACTAGGCACATATTATACCCAACTGACACACCAGGCACATACCATACCCACCTCACCCATACCACACACATACCCTATGCACAACACACATATCATACCCACCTCACACACCACACACCACATATAAACCATGCCCTCCTCACACACCCCACACATTTAACCCATATACACCACACATAAATCATTCCCACCTAACATACATGACCCATACACGTCACATGCAACACACATACATACCTCACACCACATATATACCATGCCTATGTCACACACACCACTTATCCCATAGACACCACACACACAGCACACACATATCATACCCACCTCACCCCCCACATATATACCATGCCCACCTCACACACACCACATGCTTAACCCATACACACCACACACATCATACCCCCCCTCACACACCGCACACCACATATACACCATGCCCACCTCATACACCCCACACATTCAACCTTTATACACTGCACATACCACACACATACCCCCTACACACCACATACATATCATAACCACGTGACACACAACACATATATACCATGCCCACCTCACACGTACTACAAACTTAACCCATATAAACCAGACACCACACACACCCCATATATACCACACACATATTATGTCCACCTCACAAATACCACACATACTTCATATACACCATGCACTCTTCACACATACCACACATATGTATACCACATATACACCACACACACCTAATATACACACAACACACATACCACACTCATCACACAATACCATACATACACACATCATATGCATTTCATATACACCACACATCGCATACATTGCCCCCCACACACACTTCATAAATACCACATACACACGACACCACACTCCACATACATGTTACATCACCTATACAACACACCGCATTTCACTCAGACAACTTATTCACACTACACAGATAACACACACACCACACAGTATTATACTTACGTACACCATACACACCTCATACATACCACACACACCACACACACATCACAAACACTATACCATGTACATAAAACATGTGTACACGCTCAACCCTTCCACGCTACATCACGCTCCACACATCACATTCACATCACACACACCACATACCACACACCGTAGATAGTAGATTCCACACACTCACTGCACCCTCCAGGATGCCCCGCCACCATATACACATACACAGCACACACTACCTACCCACCACACCAGACACACTGTATCTCATGCACACAGCACACACCCCTGCCACACATTTGCATGCAAACTACTTGTTTTGCATTCAAACTACTCAAATGAAACTGATTTAGTTTTTCCCAAATTAATACTGCTCATCCATGTGCCCCTGACTGTCCTGGCTGGCACATCCCCTGGTCCCGCTCTCCCTTGGGTCAGCACCACCTCCTGTGTTTTGGGTGTCTCTGGCTGTGTTCTTTGGCATGCTCATGTCCTATTCATGTAGGAGGCTGGCCCATCTGCCTAGTGGCCGCTTTCCTGGAGGAAACTGGCCTGTTTGCTACCTTCCTGATGCCCAGAGCAGCAGCTGGTCAGGAAGTCCTGCCTCCTTCCCCTGGTGTCTGCCCTTTCCCACGGGACGTTTTGTCTTAGTTCTGACATTTCCCCAGCTAGAAGAGAGACACTCAAAGGCGTGTGGGTGGGTTTGATTATAATGCTGGTGAATAATCAGTGCGTTTTGGTAAAAAACTCAACCACTACATACATCTTTAATAAAGTAAGATGTGTGTGGCCCCTCTGCTCCCACCTCTTTCCCCTTGCCTCCGTAGAGGACATGGCTGACAAGCCTTTGGGGGGGCTCCCCATTTCTGCATGCCTTTGGGTCCGTGTATGGGCTGGCCAGTATGTGTGTATTCTCTAGCCATTTTGATGGAGCTGGAACTGGGATCTACACCCGTGCACTGACTGTAGCTCACTTGCTGTTTTCCCTCCAAAACAGGCCTTTAAGATCCCTCACTGTAATGTGTGTTGCCCAGTCTCTTTAAAAACGCCATCGACTCTTATAGTGTGCAAACTCTGCCATCATTTATTTAGCTGTTCTTTTATTTACCGGTACTTAGGTCGTTTCCAGCTTTTTAAAAGATTGCTGCAATGAAAGTCTTCAGCTATCGTTTTTCACGTTGCTGTGGGAGAATGTGGTGGGAGGTGCCATGGGTGTGAGTGGCCCTGTGTGTGGCCAGGCTTTGTGAGGTTTTGACTCTGTCTTTCCCAGTGTTCCTCCTACAGCGGCTGCCCCTGGGTGATGATGGCTGCGTGAGTGCCCGCCATGGCCCATCAGAAGTATGGGAGCACGGGGAGCGGCATGTTGGACCACAGGGCGAGTCTGGGCCCTGTCTCCCACGGCCAGGAGTGAGGACTTGGAGCTGCCCTAGGAGGGCTAGGTGCCTGAGGGCCTGGAGCTGTCTGCCCTGTGGCCAGAGATCCCCATGCCTGAGGAGCAGGAGTTCCACAACCACAGCCCCGATGGGGACTCCAGCCCCGACTACGTGAACAACAGCTCCTAGGAGGAGGACTACAACAAGAGCCTGCCCGAGAAGGAGGAGGGCATCACCTATATCCGCTACTGCCCTGAGGATGACAGCTACCTGGAGGGCATGGACTGCAATGGGGAGGAGTACCTGGCCCATGGCACACACCCCATGGACACCGATGAGTGCCAGGAGGCGGTGGAGGAATGCGCGGACTCGGCAGGCCTGCACCCTCACAGCCACAGGGCTGAGGGAAGCCAGAACTACCCAGACGGCCACCTGCCCATCCTGGAGGATGAGCCCTCAGTCCTGGAGGCCCGTGACCAGGAAGAAGATGGCCACTACTGTCCCAGCAAAGAAGGCTACCAGGACTGCTACCCCATGGAGGCCAATGGGAACACCTGAGGTGTGGGGATGGGGACCTGGAGGACCAGGAGGAGGACATCAACCAGATTGTGGCTGAGATCAAGATGAGCCTGAATATGGGCCTGAGCTGGGGCCTGGAACTCTGCAGAGGCCTGCCTGCCCAGCAAGGCCCCAGCAGGTACGAGACGAGGCCCAAGTCACTGAACCTCCCTCCGGAGGCAAAGCACTGTGGACACTCCCAGAGAGGCTTCAAGCCCAAGACCAGGACCCCAGAGGAGAGGCTGAAGTGGCCCCATGAGCAGGTAGGACTCTGGCTGTCTTGGGGAAGGGAACAGAGGGGCCTGAGAGCAAGAAATCTCCCAGTACAGCCCTGCAGATGTAGTTGTATCCACGGCTCTCATCAGAAGCAGACACAGACACTTTTTGTAGGAAAGCATCTGTAACTTAAGCCTGCAGGATTCCCAGAGATTAAAAGTAGGCAACTATGAATTCAGTCAAATCATAGCATTCAAGTAGTCCATCCAACATCTTTGAGAATTGTCAGAAATAATCAGTAATAGATATGTGTCCCAAAGACTATAGGTTTTAGATACAGAACACAGAGTTCAGATATCAGATATCAGATACAGAACACTGAGTTCAGATATTAGAAATGTGAAAAAATAGTTACATGTAATATAAAAAAGATGGAATCATAAAGTTGAGCAAGCAGTAAGGCCATCAGGAATGATGAGAAGACCTGAAAAGAAAATGGATGAAACAGAACTTACAGAAATAAAAGTATATAGCTGGGTATGGTGGTTCACACCTGTAATCTCAGCACTTGGGGAGGCTGAGGCTGGAGGATGGCTTGAACCCAGGAGTTCAAAACCAGCTTGGGGAACACGGTGAGAACTCATTTCTACAAAAAATTACAGCCCCCCTCTTCCCAAAAAAATTAGCTGGGTATGGGGCATGTGCCTATAGTTGTAGCTATTCAGGAGGCTGAGGCTGTGCTGAGGCTGCACTGAGGCATGTTTGTGCCACTGTACTCCAGCCTGGGTGACAATGAGACTCTGTCTTAATATAAAATAAAATAAATACACAATGTAATTTTTGAAATAAGAAACTCAGTAGATGGATTAGACATCAGAAGAGGGAATTAATTGATTAGACAATTATCTCCAAAAACGTAAGTCAGAATGTTATACAGAGACACATGAGGGTGGATGATATGGCAGAAATAGGTGGGGTGGTGGAGAGAGAGATCAGAATGAGGTGTAAAATATGTATTAGTGGAACCAGGAGGAAATAGAAAGTGAGAGAAAGGCTGGGTGCGGTGGCTCACACCTGTAATGCCAGCACTTTGGGAGGCTGAGGCAGGTGGATCACTTGAGGCCAGGAGTTCGAGACCAGCCTGGCTCACATGGTGAAACCCCATCTCTGTTAAAAATACAAAGGTCAGGCGGCATGGTGGCTCATGCCTGTAATCTCAGCACTTTGGGAGGCAGAGGTGGGCGGATCACTTGAGGTCAGGAGTTTGAGACCAGCCTGGCCAACATGGTGAAACCCTGTCTCTAATAAAAATACAAAAATTAGCCATGTGTGGTGGCATGCGCCTGTATTCCCAGCTACTCAGGAGGCTGCGGTAGGAGAATTGCTTGAATCCAGGAGGTAGAGGTTGCAGTGAGCCAAAATCATGGCACTGCACTTCAGCCTGGGCAACAGAGCGAGACTCTGTCTCAAAAAAAAAAAAAAAAATTACAAGACTTAGCTGGGCATGGTGGTAGGCATCTGTAATTTCAGCTGCTCGGGAGGCTGAGGCACGAGAATTGCTTGAACCTGGAAGATGGAGTTTGCAATGAGCTGTGATTGCACCACTGCACTCCAGCTTGGGTGACAAGAGAGAAGCACCATCTCAAAAACAAAGAAAAAAAAAACACACAAAGAGAGAAATAGAAGTTCTTAAGGTGATAGAAACTCTAAAGGTCATAGAAGCAGTCCACATAAATCAATCACAACAAATATAAATGGACTGAAATTAGACTGATTGAATTAATAAAACAAAATCCAGCCGTTTTAGTCCATCATATTTAAAATATGAAGATGCCAAAAGATTGTAAGTTTTTATAAAGGAGAGAGATTGATAAAGATATGCCAGTATACATTAACCAAAAACAAGTGATGTAGCTGGGCATGGTGGCTCATGCCTGCAATCCCAGCACTTTAGGAGGCTGAGGTGGGTGGATCACTTGAGGTCAGGAGTTCGAGACCAGCCTGACTAACATGGTGAACCCTCATCTCTACTAAAAGTACAGATATTAGCTGGATGTGGTGGTATGTGCCTGGAATCCCAACTACTAGGGAGGCTGAGGCAGGAAGGGGAGGTTGCATTCAGCTGAGATCACACTACTGTACTCCAGCCTAAGTGACAGAGTGAGACTTTGTCTCAAACAAGTGATGTAGCTTTAGTATCAAAGAAAATAGGATTTTTGGAACAGTGTCTGTAGCATGCAACTGTCTGCAAGGGAAAGCCAGGGACGGTGGCTCGTAACAGTGGGCTGTCCACTGTGGTTTAAAGAAGAACATACACAAAATTAATAGTAGTGGCTAACTTGTGGAGGAAGAGGGATGAATAGGAGGAAACTGCGTGGTAGGGGACAAGTAGGGAGAGTTTTTACTTAGGATATAGACATTTTTGAGTGTTGTGATGTGTGAATTTACTATGTAAAAAAAAAAAAAATTCTGTGACATCTTGTAGTAGGTAGATGTGCACCACTATGGAGAATGCTGATGGTATATTAATTGGAAGTTAAGATATAGATTGGTTGTACTTAGGGTCACAAAAGTAATCCTAGATTTGGCTTCTTAAAAAGATTGTATATTTTTACTAAAAAAGGACTCCTTTAGTAAACAGCATGGCACCAATTATGGGCATTCTTTTTTTTTTTTTTTTTGGAGTATACTAACTTTTCTACAAGCAACGAGGGCATAATACATGTTTTTAAAATAACTTTTACTTTTAAAAAGTTAAGTACATTAGAGAAAACTGAAAAACTCAAGAAGCAAAGAACAAAGTCACAATCACAAGCAGTTTACAGTTTGACACATTCTTCTAGGTCCTGTGCGTCTGTAGGCAGAATATCCAATTTTATGGGACTGAGATTGTATAGTATGTATCATGATTTTTCACACACTATGAATATTTACCAATTCAAAATCCCAAAGCTATATGAGCATTTTGATAACCAAAAATACACTACACCAACTCAGTCTGTTAAAAAAAAATGTAATCCCGTCTTTCTTGGGATAAAAATTTCATAGAAGACAAAAATGGCAACATGCCTCTAGATAAAAGCATTGGCAGAGCTCCAATTTAAATACTGCATTCCTTTAATGCTCAATTTAAAATGAAGCATAAAGCAACAGAATACACTAAGTATAATGCTTCTAAGAGAGCTCAGTAGCAGATCTATACCATTAAAACATTAGCAAGGTATATTTCCACTGAATTATTTAATATATTCCTGTAGTACAGCCACAAGAGATGCATTCAGTAATGGCTATCATCAAAATGTAAATATGGACACATCTGCATACATCTCTCCCTTTATAGTTCCTTCTGCCCCTCTGCTGCCAACTAATGAACAAGTCCTGACATAACACTGCTCAGAGGTGGTTTACAATTCCATGTCCAAGATGCATCTTTTCTATCAATTACAACAAAGGCATTTACAAATTGGCTAATTCACTAGCTCTATGTTGTCACCCCAGACATTCATAAAGCTTAGATGTTGCAAAATAATGAACTTTGTCCACAGTAAACACAGGCACTTTACTAAAAACACTTATACAGTCCTGTGGTTATCATCTAAAACCATCTTCTAGATATGGAGATACTAGCAAAGAGACCTTCCCGTCACCCTGTCTTCTCCCTCTTCCACCATCCTTAGTGACTAAGTATAGGATGTCTGGCTCCAAGAGGTGGACTAATAATAAAGGTCACTCCCAGAAGACAGGCCTTCTTAAAAACTAACAAAAGGACATTCATAAAGGGACTGATTACTATATTTATTTTTAACATACTCTGAGCATTGACTTGTTTATCCTTTAATACATAATACTAACTAAAATGCACGTAGAGAACAATGGTTAGACCAGCTGAACTAATCTCAGGGCCACATAACCCTTCTCCCTGCATAGCTCCTCCTCCTCCACCCATCACCACCCAATAAATAGCATAGGCTCCTAAGCATCAGATTTTAACAATTCCATTCCCAAATGCAACCAACCACTCCTAAGGAAGTAATGAAAACAAATGCTTAGAGGAGTGTTACTTTAGCCCTATACTTTTAACCTATGTTGTGCACTTTTAAACACCTAGAAAGGCTAGATATTTCTGACTGGACTTAAGTTTTCCATTATATACACAGTAGCATTGAATAAATGTATACATAACACAGACTGTAATTTGAGTGTTTTCTAAATAGGAACATTCTGGTCTAGAACCTACTTCCCTTTCCAACCTCTACCAACCCAATGGACAACTTAGGGGGTATTTTAACAATTTCACTTCTGTTTTTAAGAAGTCTTCCCTATGATTTTTAACACAAGGTATGCTCAATGTATTGAATTTACAAACTCTACTTCTGTCATACACTGGCAACCTCTTTAACATGGACTACTTGTAAATTAGGACTCTTATGTCCGCTTATATACACTATATACACAGCACAGTTAATGCAAATGCAGACATAAGGGACAATGATCAATGTGTCTTATCATAAACACACTGGTGGAAAGCCTTTTACGCTCTTCCTTCTCCCTGAACCTGCAGAGATATCATAATGTACTACTCAGAGTATTGATCAATTTCCAAAAGATGATATATCAAAAAGACAGCTACAAAATGTGTTTGTTATTTACTACCTCTACTTTTAACATACTTTGTGCACTTCTAAACATCTAGAAAGACTAGATGTTTCAAATTAGGGCTTAAGTTTCTCCAGTATATACACAGTAGTGTTGAATAAACTACACACATGTAACAATGGTTATACCTGAAAGTGTCTTCTAAATAGGAACATTCTGGTCTGGAACACTTCATTCCTTCCAGCTCTTAACCACCACCAACCTGGTGGATACAGGCACTTGTGTCACTTACAGCTGATGTTACTTCACTTCCGAAAGTCTTTCTCAGAAGACAGCCTTTCTATGAATTTTAACAAAGTGTACAGGATGTGTTAGTTTACTAACTCTACTTCTGTCATACATTGGCAACCTCTTTAATGTCTAGAAACTAGATATAAAATTGGGACTCATTTGTCTAGTATATACATAATATATACAGTATAGCAAAGTTAAATGAAATGCATGTAACATATAGGCAATGGATTAAGCTGAAATTTTCTAATAAACAATAGCAAAACACCTTTTGCCACTTCTTCCCTCCCACCTGCCAGGTGGTTCCACAATTCGACTTCCCAACAGCATTTCCCATCACTTTTTAAAAGCTATTTATAAAAAGTGTTATTCTACTATTAATTTTAAATACACCAAGCACTTCCACATATCTAGAAAGACTAGATATTTCATATAACTTGTCCACCACCTACACAGCACTGTTAACTAAAATTTCACACTCGTAACAATGGTTATCATCTGAGGTATCTCCTAAATGTGACCATTTTGGCGGTGAAGCACTCCCTCCTCTCTTTCTTCTCTGCCTTCAATCCAGTGGACAAGTACAGGCAGGTGTAATGCTTAGAGATGATTGAACAAATTCCAATGCAAAAGTCATTTACCGAAGACAAGTTTTCCTATGAATTTTATCACAAAGGGTAAAAAAAATGCTGATTTTACTAAATACTTTGTCATGCACTGGCAAACTCTTTAACCTCTAGAGACTAGATGTTAAAAAATTAGGACTCATTGTCCATTGTATACACTATATACAGAGCAAAAGAAAATTCACAAAACCTACAGAAAAATAGTGTCTGAAATGTCCAAGTGTGAACACACTAGAATACGTTTGCAGTTTGTTCCCTCCCACCTCCTCTAAACCATTGAACAAGTATAGACATAACTATACTGTTCACAAAGGTGGCTTCACAATTCAATTTCCAAAAGTATTTCCTATGAATTTTAGTAAAAAGATAATTACAAAGTGGTATTGTACTACCTCTACATTTAACATACATCGGGCATTCTAAGCACCTAGATAAACTAGATGTTTCAAGTAAGGAGTTAATTTGTCCACTATGTACACAGCAGTCTCAAATAAACTGCAGACATGTAACAACAGTTATCATTTGAAAGAGTCTTCCAAATGTGAACATTCTGGCCTAGAACCCTTCCCATATCCATCAACCCAGTGGGCAAGAATGCTCAAATTTTCAGAAGACAGTCTTTCCTAGACTTGTAAAACAAAATGTATAAAATATTAGGTTACTATCTCTACTTCTGTTGTATACTGGCAACCTCCTTAACATCTAGAAAGACTAGATGTTGTTAAAGTTAGGACTCATTTGTCCTTTATGTACACTATATGCACAGGTAAGTAAAACAAAATGCACAGAGATAATAATTCATCTTGCCTTGCTGTAAGCAGGGCGGCATAGAACTGTCTGCACCTCCCCCTCCTCCCTGCTCCCCTGAACCGCTGCACACACAGTGAGTATTACTCAACAGGTGATTTGGCCATTCCCCCTAAAAAACATTTCCTACAAATTGTAACAAAAAGATATTTACAAAGTGTGATTTTATTACCTCTAATTTTAACATCAGGCACTTCAGAACATCTAAAAACAGACGTTTCAAAAAAGTTTAGCATTGTCAATTATATATACATTAGTGAAGAATAAAATGCACACAAAACAGTGGCTAGAATATGAAAATGTCTTCTAAATATGACCAGCCTAGCATAGAACCTTCTCCTCCTCCTCAGGTCTTCCAGCTCCATGTCATCTAACCCACTGAACAAACGTGGACGTATCGCCTGCAGAGGCCATCTAACAACATTTCCAAAAGTCATCTTCAGAAGACATGTATGTTCTATCATTTCTCTTAAACAAGTGAGAATTTGCAAGATGTGTGTTTTTCTAACTCTATCATACGTCGGCAACCTCTACATCTAGAAGGACTAGATGTGACAAATGTTTTCTATTAAAAGGTTGGGGTGCAGTTGAGAGCAGCTTTTTCATATTATATACACAGGGCTTCCATAAACGTCCAGTAAACCTTCCCACAGGGTGGTGGGCATTTCCGCCGGGCCAAACGTGGCCTGTCATTCTACTGTTTCTCTTCCAGCAGCAAGGTCTGGTAGAAGGAAGACTAACCGCCCGGTGGTCGCTAACCGTTCCACCCGTCGCTGTTCGGAACTTCACTGACCTCCCAGGCCTGGTAAGGCCTTTGTCAGTTGTCAGGACTAGGTAGGTCTCGCCCAATGGGGACAGAGCGGTCACTGGGGACCCGGATCTGCATGACTCCGTGGCCTAAAGAGGCGGCCGAGCCTGTCTGCGTCCTCAGGCCGCCTTCCCAGGCCCTCTATGACCTAACGGCCTCTGCTGCGCAGCATTCGAGCGGCCGCCATGTTTCCTGGTCCGCCACTCCCGCCGCCACCCAAAGGTGTTGCATCCGGGCAGCTCAGCTGGGGCTTCGTCGAGGCCTGGCACACTTGGGCCGGGAGACTCAGTGGCCAGCGGGGTCCAGGCTGGGGTACGGGCTGGGAGAAGCCGCCGCCGCCATCAGTCACTGAAGTGGGGTGGGGTAGAGAGGTTTGCCGCGGCTTCAAGGCCTGAGCCTGGCCAGGCCAGTGGGCAGCCACAGCGGAGGCCTCCGGTGTCTGAAGGGCACAGGGCACGGCCTGTCCCGGGGGCCCCCCAGCTCACCCGCCGGCCCGGGGCCGGAGCGCCTGGAGGGCCCAGGGGGAGCTCACGGCGCTCTGCTTCTCTGCGCTCCAGTGGGCATTCTTTAGATTTGTAACTTAAAATGTCATTTGTATGTATAGTCGTGGAAGCTTAATATTTTCTTATCTGAAAGTAATATTTTGTAGGTTCTTTTTGATAGATGTGATGAGGAAGAGTTTGAGTTTTATTAACATCCAGACAGTGTTCTTTAATTCGATTCATCAACGTGGAGACGGACTCTACAACCTGAAAGCTTTGTACTTGTCCGGTGGTAGGAAGACATATAATAATGAACTGTGAGGCTTGTTGATGTTTATTGGGGTCGAGTTGGTTATGTTATTCTTATAAAATTGTAGAGAATAATGAAATTGAGGAATGAGGCTATTACAGTTGCTTTTGAAATGGAAATATTCAGTGTCCTGTGTATGCTTTTTTTTTTTTTTTGAGACGTTGTCTCTGTCACTGAGATTGCACTACTTAGGCTGGCGTGCAGTGGTGCGATCTCAGCTCACTGCAGCCTACTCCTCCTGAGTTCAAGCCGTTCTCTTGCCTGATCCTCCCAAGTAGCTGGGACTACAGTTGTGCACCACCATGTCCAGCTAATTTTTGTAATTTTAGTAGAGACGAGGTTTCACCATTCTGGATAGGCTGGTCTCGAACTTCTGACCTCAGGTGATCTGCCCACCTCAGCCTTTCAAAGTTCTGGGGTTACAGGTGTGAGCCACTGTGGCTGTCCTGTCCTGTGTTCCTTTAGGTACAGGGGCGATCCATTAATAAATTTATTGTGATAATTTTTACCTACTTAGTTTTGATTTAAACTGTGTAATTACTTTCAGAGTCATTATAATCTAGCAAGAGCCCAACAATCCTATTGTACAGACACATAAGAAAAATGCTAAGTTTAATCAATGTGTTTATTGCCATTTAAGAAGTTTTATATAATGTATTGATATATTCCCTGTTATTTTTCTGTTTTTGGTTTAGTTTGTTAAAAAGTACTGTTACCACAGTGAAAAAAACTTAACTTGCACTGCATACAAAATATTTTAATGAATCTTTAATACTGTGCTTCAATCAGAAATCTTTGTATCCTGTGCCCTTGGCCTAGGTATCCTGGAATCAGAATCAAGATTTTTTTTTTTTTTTAGTAGATTAATGAATGACTCACTTTACTTACTTGAAATTAATGGTCTTAGGTTAGGAATTGAGTTAAAGGGAGCTCTTTATAGATGGAGTTGTTGTTCTAACTGGGTAAATGCAATGAGGATCATAACCTGCCATTTCTGAAACATCTTCAGACTATATACTTAATGCTTGTGACAATCTTATATATGTATCTATTTAATAAGAATAGTTGTCATTTCAGTTTATACGTGAGTATTGAGTTGTCAATTTTTAAAAAATTAAATCTCTTAAAGTATCGTTCATAAACTTTAGTGGTCTTTAAATTTTGTTGATACCTTATTCACAGTGCACATATTTTGAGTTTTTGTCTCTAACAGTGAGATTTTAAGAAAAACTAGGTTTGAAACATTTTATAAACCACCAGACAAGAAATAATTGTATAGAGCCTGTTAAAGTCGTGTAGAACATATTTTTAGGTACCGTGTTATACACTGCACTGAAATCCTATCTCTGTCTCCTTGTTTTACAAAGTTCTATTTTACTAAGTAAATAAACCCATCAGATTTTCTCTGTTATTTGGTGGTGGATCAAGGAAAATAGGGGGTCGGGGAGGCAGGGGAATAGTTCAGCTTCTGACAGGGTGAGGAAAAGTAGGACCTGCGTATAAAATTTCTTTTGAAAGTTCCAGGTAAATCTCTAATTAGAGTGATTTTGTCCCTTGTACTTGCATTTCGTGTATTTCCAGAGAAGCTGCAGGGACCTTAACAGGAATAAAAAAAAAAAAAGTAATCATTCTGCTAAGCTTTCCTATATTGACCACAATGCACATACTTTCCATTTGTTACCGTCCATTTGATGGGAAAACAGTGCTTGCAAATAGAATGTCAGTGAGCTTGTTAAGCAAACAGAAAACGGAACTTACCTGGAATTAGAAGTTAATGAGAAATTTTCAAAAACGTAGTAGTTAGCAAGTCAAGAAAAACAGGATAATCATTTCTGTGATCCCTAATAGTAAAATATATCAAAACAAGGGTAAATTATAAATAGAGGCATTTTCTAAATTAAACTCAGGGCTGCCAGATTAGAAAGACAATATAAATATAATACAATGTGTTTTTCATTAATGTTCAAAACTTGTCATATACTGACGTAGAAATTTGTCCCACTAATGAAATGGAATTTGAAAATTGGGATATAGATACTCTGGGAAGAATGATAAAATTGAACTTAATTACAGCAACAATCTAGTCCCTGGACCAGACCCAAGAAAACAAAGCAGAAGCATACTCACATAGGCTTAAGAAGAATGCATTTAGCATATAGTGAGAAGGCCTATTCTGATTGAGTGGTTTTCAGACTCACGTTTACCTGGAAGCTTTTCCACACCCACACTTTTCAGATATTCTGATTTGTTAGGCCTGAGCCAAGGCCCAGTTTTGGTATTTCTGCTTGTTAATTTGCTATAGGTAATTCTGATATATAGAAAGACTAAAGACTAAGAGCAATTTCCCATATATAGTGACAACCTCTACCTTGAATAGTCGAAATTGTAATTACCCTAATTGCAACATCAACAGTTCCCAAACTGGTGTTCTACAAATAATAGTCTAGTGAATGCTCTTTGAAAACAAAAGTCATGGCCATGTAAATTCCTTGTTCTGAGAAGTCCTGTTTAACAAGTGTTTCCCAAATTTATTTATTTATTATTACCTCTATTACATATATTACATTTTTAGCCTAGTAACTATTAACCCCATATTTATAGAAACAATGCCCCAAGTGTGTTCTGTGATGTCACTATTTTCTAGAGTAACATCCACTATTTTACTTCTTTATTTTTTGAGATGGAGTCTTACTCTGTTGCCCAGGCTGGAGTGCAGTGGCATGATCTCAGCTCACTGCAACCTCTGCTTCTCTGATTGAGGCAATTCTCCTCCCTTAGCCTCCTCAGTAATTGGGACTATAGTGTGTGCCACCACACCCAGCTAATTATTTGTATTTTTTTTTAGTAGAGATGGAGTTGTATCATGTTGGCCAGGTTGGTGTTGAACTCCTGACTTCAAGTGATCTGACCGCCTTAGCCTCCCCTAGCTCTGGGATTACAGGCATTAGCCATCGTGCCTGGCCTCCCATAAGGCATGTAAAGCCACTTCCAAAGGTGGAATTGACAGACTTGCCAAAAGTCAGTGGCAAGATCTCTAGACGTGCCTTGAGGTCTTTAAGTTTCAACCCCCTCCCTCCACCCCAAGCCAATCAGTTGTCCTCCCATAACAACATCATACAGTAATTAGCACGTGGTCCTTGACTTCTCCAGATCAGCTCCAAAAAGATACAGACTATTAACAGGGGAAACATTGTGAACTGAAGTGTTCAACAGATAATATTAAAAACATTCGTATGGGTCCATTGTTACATCAAAAATGTATTTCTCACCAACAAAATCCTCTATAAAATTCTGTCAGATCTGATGACAATTTAACTTATTTTTAAATGCATAGAATTATATCAAAGAAATTCCACTATGTAGGCCCAAATACAATCTCTGAGCCTCAGGTCTTCCCCATCTTCACCTCCATTTCACATTTGAGTATATATATTTGAGAGAACATCACTCATTTTTTGTTTTGGGAGTTGTTGATAACCTTGGAAGTTTTTTGAGGGCAAAGATCAAGTCTCTTACAGCTTTTAGCATGCCTCTGTGTACCAAACAGTTTCTCAATAAATATGTTACCCCACTTTGTCATAAAATAGATGGCATGCTTATCTGTACAATGCAATGTGATTTGATCACACCCAACCTATGAGTAGATAATAGTACTGAATCTGTTTAAAAACAACATTCCCTATTCCCTTTGCATCTTTGTAGCATATCCGCTTGGTTTCTAGTAATGTTGGTTCTATCCATATGTTTTTAGATGATGTAACTATGTTGTGCCCAAGTAAAATTATACCAAGAATTTTATGGGGAAAAGCCAATGCTCTGCTCCTACTTTTTATAAAAATTTCAGACATTTGAAAAAGTAAATTCAGTATTGGACAGCGAGTTTTATTTTGGAGGTTGGAGTACTTGGAGGAGACTCCTTTGGCTACTTGTGTATGGGGATGGGGAAAATGCACAAGTTTACAAAATCTTGTAAATTCTCACAGGGCTTAGTTTTGTGACCTTACAAAAACGGATTGTTTTTCTAGC